GTACATGTAAAGTGATTTTAAACGTGTAGCAAGACATGCTCATTTGATTTTTGCAACAAATGAATGTAAATATTTTCAATGTTTATTTTTTGTATACAGCTGTCATTACTAAAATTGATTAATCAACATGCCTTCATGTATACATTTACCTTCTCATAATGTATCACAACGCTTTAACATTTTGAGTGTCTCTGAGAACAGGTAATACAATTATATATTCTTTTGAACATTTTTTTTTTTAATTTAAAGTAGACATATCCTTTGAACGCACCGATCGTTCTTATTTTGTCTGTGCAAAGATGGGATGACTTTTTAAATGATTTATTTGCTTTTCAAACAGTTTTTTTTGCATTGAAGTTTAAAGTTTAAAGTTATGTGACCCGAAAATACCCTTCCACAAAATAGGAAAAAAAAAAAATACCATACCTTGTCATGTTAAACTACACTTCTGGTAAAATTCAAAATACCTTAATGTGCGCACTGGTTTCCGAAAATTTGGAAGTACAAAAACAAGTACTTCTGTTCCGAGCAACAGGGCAAATATGTATTTTTTTTTATATTTTCAAAAGAGACTTTCAACAAGAGTCCTATAGTGACTCAAAGTCCTTTAAGGCTTTCATAACCAAACTATTTTACTTATAGACAAAGTTATAGCTATATGCGTAGGAACTATTTTGTTTGAAATATGTATAACTTTCTTGTATGTTTTTTTTTTTGACTGGGCCGATATAGTAGTTCTGTACATTAAGGGTTTCAAGTAAATACAAGATATTTGAGGTTGGCGAGCGTGTAGAAAGCCGTTATATGATTGTTACCGCAATATCATCCGTCTTGTTTGGTTTAACTTTGTTTATCTTACCGTAGATTAATATCTGTACTTATATTGTTTTATTATGTTCTAAAATACTTAATAAACCTCTAAATCTTGAGTCGTGGTTTAGCCAATATGTACTAAGATGGCCTTTTGCTAAGTCATCTATACTATATTTAGTAATTGTTACACGTTACAAATCTTAGTTTAGAGTACCGCAAACAAATAACATCCTACTTACTTTGTTGAATATTTCGATTTAAATTTGTATAATGCCTTGAAATATTAAATCTTCAAATACTGCAATACTGATTTAGATCATTGGCCTTGAGCAAGCAGGTTGCTCACGTAAGTAGTTAGAAAGATTAAAACCCAAAATAAAACTTTAACAAAATTAATTTACTTTTTCCTTTCTAAAGAGTGTATGTATATGATATTCCGCCCCTATTCATCACAAATTTAGACATTTGTGGTCAATCAAATACTTAAAGGCGATACATTACATACTGGTAGCTATACATTTCTTATTAGAAGAACATTGTGTCAATTTATGATTTTCAGACATATCTCTGAATGGTTCTCTAACTTGGGGATTCTCATGGTTAACTAAAATGGTCGATAGAATTTGTCGTGAACTTGATTAGTTGCTTGCATTGGTCGCTAGCTTGAGTCTGGTATGCAAAATCTGTAATTTTTCGATAAATCAAAGCTATATTTTATGTGTTTTTTTACATGTACCAGGACAGTTTTTTTTTTCGACAACTTAATTTTTTTACCAGACTCATTTGATTTAAAACTTTTTTGATCCTACTCAAAATGGTGTGAATCCCTCTTTGAGTTTTTGAGGTTATTACATAAATTAAATTAAGATAAGTATACATGAATGACACATCTTATTTTTTTTTTAAATATGTATTGTTGGGGTGCTGTATTGTTTACGTTTAACATATGTCCTGTTTTACTCATATTTAATGTAGAATATAAACACCAATATGGATTTCATTGTTTTCGAATCAATAGAAAATGTAGTTTTTAAAAAGTTTTATTTTTATATTCATTATACTTATGTTTAATTGTTATTTTTATTTAGTGACTGTTTAACTTATTTCTTGACATTTGTCTTTTTTTTTTTCGCAATTTTAATTTCAAAGTTATCGAATAATTAACTATTATGAATTCACATAATTCCTGACATATTCTTCTAGTGTGTTATCTGTTATCCGTTAATTTATATTTGTTTGTATAAGATGCACATTGAGGGCGTTAGCCCGAATGGGTGTATCTTATTTACACCAAGATATTATGGTCAATGCATAATGTTAGTTTTCAAGAATTTAGGAGGGGGGTCTTTCAGCGATTTGACCATATTGAAAACAATGATAAACGCAGGGTTTCCAATTTCATGTTATCTTGGTATATATGAAAAGAGTTAAACCTAATAGACATTTTAATATATTATCGTATATCCTGTATACCGTCATTCAAATGCGTGTCATCAATTGTTTTACTTTCTACCATTTTATATTCGAAAGAAATGGATACTATTTAACTAAAAGGTCAAACAATGTTGATACCTATTTAGTGACGTATGGTACGTTTCCCAGATAATCATTACTAAGTACTTATAAGAAAATCTACATTCGGCACAATATGTACGAAACCCCTAGATTCACAACAAGATAGAGATATTTAATAGAAGAAAGGTATGATACAGACGACAATTAACATCCCTTACTTCTATTAAAACAAAATGGAACCAGTATGTTATACTAGACAGTAGATATAAGAAGATGTGGTATGAGTGCCAATGAGATAACTCTCCATCCAAGTCAAAATTTATAAAAGTAAACCATTATAGGTCAAAGTACGGTCTTCAACACGGAGCCTTGGCTCACACCGAACAGCAAGCTATAAAAGGCCCCAAACATTACTAGTGTAAAACCATTAAAACGGGAAAACAAACGGTCTAATCTACATAAAAAAACGAAAACGAGAAACACTTATGTACCACATCAACAAACCACAACTACTAAACATCAGATTCCTTCATTTTAAACGACATAAACAAGAAAATTCAAGATTTATACAAGGGAAATAAAGTATGCAGCTGTAAATCACATTCAAAGCAATATAGATATTTAAAAATACACATCATTAACCTTAGACTAGTATTCACAAAATCAAATTATCAAAGATTTATAACCGAAAGTTGTATTTTAAACAGATAGTAGTTGTCTCCTTTTGTCAAAACTTCAACAACAATCATAAATCGGCGTGTCGGTAGTATTTTTTTGTCGTGCCGTAGAAAATCTGACAGTTGTTCCCTATACCCTGGTATAAACGCCACTCAGAAATAACTTTTGTTTTTAGAAATTTCCCAAAATTAGTCAAGGGGCCCAAAAAAACGACCGAAAAAATTAATTAAAATTATAATATTTTTCTTATCTTATGCATTTCCATAATTTTATGATTACGAAATGCCATAATATAGTAACACAATTATTCGATTAACTAATATTATGAAATTTCATAATAATGTGTTAAATTAGGATATTTTATAATATATGTCTAATTTGTAATCAACCTGGTCGCAAAAACACACAAAAAAATATATAAATTACTTTTCACGCATTATATGTATTACTTCGTTATTGGTTCCCTCAATTTTCTGCCAAATAAATTACATAAGTGCAGAAGAATGCCATGCTTATAATGTTTCTGTATCACTAAAAAGAGATAAAATGTTATCATTTGAAACAAGTACCCTATTTAGCAATTATGCATTTTAATGTCACTAGATGATAAAAATATAAATAATATAACAATAAAGATATTTAAAGCTTTGTTTGGGTTGATTAAGAGTGCAATTATTTCTTTATTTAAATTAAAATCATGAACCGCCATTGGAATTTATTACTTTTTGTACTCCAGGATCGGTTGGTTTTTTTGTCAAATAATGATAAATATCAGATTAAAGCTACTAAGATTGTGTTCGTATTGTTTAAATATGCCATTTTTTTTCTTTTTATCCAAAATAATGCAAATTTTATTGCAAAATTATTAACCGCCAGGATTGGTTGTATTTTTCATGCTGAATTCCAGGGAAAAGATACCAACATTCTGTTCGCATTGCTTCAAAATGTAAATATATTTTCTTTTATGTCAGAAAAAATGCAACGTCATTTGCAATCAGTCATTATAAACGCCTATAGATAAGTAATTTTGTGAATAATATAATAATAAAGATACCTAAACTTTTGTTTGTGTTGAATAAGAATGCATTTATTTTTTTATTTCAATAGAAATCATGAACCGCCATTGGATTTTAGTGCTTTTTGTACATCAGAATGGGTTGTTTTTCATAACATTAAATGAATATCAGAGAAAAGATACTAGAATGTTGTTCGCATTGTATAAAATTACCAATATTGTTTTCTCTTTTTATCAAAAATAATACAATGGTTATTTCAAACGCCTCATGATAAGTTTTTTTGATACAATCTTAATAATATAAGGAGAAAAATACTTAAACTTTTGTTTGTGTTGAATAAGAATAAAATAATTTCTTTATTTTATAGAAATTATGAACCGCCATTGGATTTTAGTACTTTTTGTAAATCAGGATTGGTTGTTTTTCATAAAATTAAATGAATATCAGAGAAAATATACTAAAATGTTGTTCGCATTGTTTTAGATTACCAATATTTGTCAAACTTAATGATGAAAAAAAATAATGTACACCGTGAAAAAGTCGTGATAATGCATTATGTGCCCATTGTGAAAAGACCGTGAAATGTAGATATAGTACAGTATATGCCTTTATTTGTCGTGAAAAGGCCGTGAAAACTTGGGTAAAGAGACCGTAGAAACCCTGTGAAAAACAAAAATGTACACCGTGAAAAAGTCGTGATAAATTATGTGCCCATTGTGAAAAGACCGTGAAATGTACATGTACTACTGTGATAAACAGCCATTCACTGATTGTGAAAACTCCTGTAAAATGTTAAATGTATTTTTCAGGCCATAATTTAACAAAAAATTTAAATGCTGTTTCAATCAAGTGAAGTGAAATGCCTGAAAACCTAGTGAAAACATCTACAGACAACTTATTTAAGTACAATGCAAGTGAGACTATGAAAAACCATATTAAAATGCTGTATTTTTTTTTAGTAATAATTGTGACAAAGAATAAAAATATTAATTTTAATAGAACTGTAGTAATTATGTAAAGAAAACATAAAAGCACACAAATGTCAATGTGATTAAGTAGCAAAAGTCAGCTGTAACATGTATTGTAGAAATTTTGTACATCTCTTGGGTCTGATTTTACCACTTCAGCAATATTTGTCTAATGTAATCCTTCACTTCACTGCCCTTTTGAATAACTATTCCAGAAAAAACATTTATAGAAGTTCCTGTTAATTCCCAGGAAATACTTTTAACTGAAAAGCTCTTCTTTCCAACTGGATTCCTGAACTATTTTATATAAAGACTGCTATATCCTTTTGCTCTTCATTCCTAGAATAAATAAAGAAACATTACATATATTATACATGTATATAAAAAAAACTATTTATATATTCAAATTAATTTTTGGCATTTATGTACATACATGTACTTAAAACAGCTACAATATTATTCCATGCAATACAGGACTTCACGGTTAATGACCCCATATTGAATAGGGGGCAGATTTTCATACTGGAGGTGAAAATGGTATGAAAAATACTAAAAAACATCATTGAAACAGAACAGCCACTTGGAAACATGCATAGGTTTTCCCATATTTTCTTACCATTTTCCAGAAAAGCTGCCCCCTATCCAATATATATGGCATCATTAGTTAACGAAGTTCTTTATTGTCAACTAATATTATTTATTTTGATTTTTTTAAAGACTAAAGACACTTTTAAGACAGACTATTAAATTTTAATGTTTCTTTGAAGTAATAATATGTATGGCTAAAGTCAAACTTGTCTAGACTAAGTGGCCGTAATGAGCTACAGCTATTTATTTTACAGGGGGCCAGGGGCATAGCAACTTTTACTGCAGGCACATTCGCCATACCAATTATTTTTTAAACAACTCATTGCCATACCAATTATTCTTATGATATGGCACAAACCCTTCTAGAAAGGACATTTTGCCGTACAAATATTAAATACTTTCCCTGCTACACCTCTGATTAATCCCATTTGAACTCTGTGTCCAGACGGCCAAGTCAGAAAATACTTAAATAGCTCCCGACACATTCAAAGGGGGTTACGCCTCTGATTATCAGAGTGAACTCCATTTCAGAGATTCTTATTGCTATTATAATCATTTCCAATTATCTATGTCTATGTCTACGTAGTGTACTGTACATAAATGTCTTTTTTTTTTATGTGGCCAGTGTGGGGAAAAAGGACCCCCCCCCCCTTTTTTCCCCAAATACATAAACAAAACCGTAATCGTATTTAAAGGATCCGGTAAGTCTTAGAAAACATTAACCAAAATGATTAATGGAATCATGTGCAACAGACTCAAATATAAGTGAATATATCACATGCATGTTTGCGCGGTTTCTGCAAATTCAGTGAAAATCAGTTCAATGGAAATGCTCACAAACGTCATCAACATTTTGGTGATATGATGCATAAAAGAATAAAATGTTAATAACTTAACTTACCTCAAACTTGCTGTCACTCGTCTTGCATCTATAAAGTAAATATTAATCGACCTTCGGCGTCTTTCAAATTTCCTACCTAGCTTGCGGAAATGTGACAATTACTCTAAAAGAAACACGAATCCGGATACGGTCTGATATTCCGGGAAGTTCTCGTTTTTACATGTTTCGGTTCCAATTAAAATTAATGTTTACATTGTTTATAATAATGTACAGACGAGAAGCAAAATACTTTTCTTTAAATACAAAATGTGTATTGGCACAAAGTCATTAATTATAACAATGAATGGTTCCATTGAAAAGTCAGTCCTGTACAGTAGTATTGCATATAATAATATTAAAACAGACATATATTTATAATGAAAAGTTTATAGGATATTTAGAAAAATGTGAGTGGAAATAATTAGACCATATTACAATAATCACATGGGATGTTTTAAATCTGAATTAGGATAAGAAAAAAATGACATGAAAAAATATTACGGCCTTTTCACTGGTTTCAACAACCAGTGAAAAGGCCGTGATATTTTTTATTAAGCATGAAAGGACAAATTATCACGGCCTTTTCACGGGATATTGAAATTTCACGGTCTTTTTCTAACATCAAATATTTTTCACGGCCTTTAGAAATATTTTTTTTACAAAAGTCACGGGGTATTTTCACGGGGTTTTCACGGCCCTGTGATATTTCACAGACATTTCACGGCCTTTTCATGGGCTGTTGTTACAGTAGTGTTTGTATGCCCGACTCGTTTTTTTGTCTATATACGAATCATCATTAAGGAGCAATGCGAACACAACTTCTAAATAGTTGCGCCAAATATAGGTATGGTCACATATGTCTGATGGAATTAAAGTCTTCTTCTTACGAATGATTTTTTAGTTATATATGTAGTAAGTTTACAAAAGTGACGTAAAATTTAAATTTCATAATAACAACCGAGTAGTGTTGACTATTGGGCTGATGGCACGTTTCGTCGTTCTAGATTTCCTATAAAGCCAAATACATTTCGAAGTGGAAGATCATTGAACAGAAAGCATTCTAAAACAAGCGTGACAAATCTTGCTTTGCGATTAATAACAACCAGTATATCAAAGTTTTATAAACCGGAAATATACGTATACAACATATTGCAAGAATCTTAATCAGACAGCTTGATTTTGTTTTATACAAAAATTACTTTCATATTGCTTTAAAGAAAAACCGATCATAGGCTGTTTCTTTTTTTTAGAATGGTGAGATGAAGCTGTTTCTTCGATTTTTGTCTGTTGCTGTGCTTTCAGTTATATTTGTTGGTTTTACGAGAATTCAAAATACGTCTATGTTTGAAAAGCAATTGTTTCAACCCAGAAATACAACCAGTTTGCTACTCGTTAATACCGAAGGATGCAAAATTATGAAACTTGATCCTTTTGATATGTCTATACGTTCTTTTTTTCCAACACGCTCAGTTTTGACTTGCAGAGAGAAAGAAGATATCGTGTATGTAAAACATAATACAATTTTTATTAACTGGGATTATGTACAAGATCGGAATCCTACATTAAAGTTCTGTAAATATGACGTAATATGGAGACCAATAAACACCAATACTGATCACAATTTCTTTCGATTCATAAATGAGAGTAAACCTTTTACTGCTAATCAAACGATCCATGATGATTTTATTAGAGTGCGATGTTTTGATAATTACAATCATGTTGTGTATAGAAATGCTTTCTCGTTTGTGCATCTTAAAAAGAAAGTAGAAAGACGATGCATTGAAAATTTTAAGAAACATTCCCACAATAGACGTCATTTGAGCATTCTTATGATTGGTGTCGATTCAATTTCCCGAAATAACATGATTCGTTATATGCCAAAAACAAGACACTTCTTATATAAAAACCTCTCAGCATTAGATTATCTTGGATACAACAAAGTCGCCGATAACACTTTTTTGAATATAGTTCCAATGACAACAGGAAAATTTGTGCATGAATTGCCATGGAATACCTCTTTAACAGATGTTTCATTTGACCAGTTTGATTTTATTTGGAATAAATTCTCGGAGAAAGGTTACAGAACACTTTACAGTGAAGATGCTTCCTACGGCCAGATATTTGATTATGAAAAGGCCGGATTTAAAAAACCAACAGCAGATTACTTTGACCGGCCACTGTCACTAGTTTTGGAAGATATGCATGATATTTGGAATACTAACCATCACTGCGTTCACGCCCGACCAGAAACTGACATTTATCTAGAATATACAAGACGTTTTGTACAGAAATTTAAAACTTCTCCTTACTTCTCATTTAGCTTCATTACAAGATTAACACACGACGAACTATCTAATGCTAAAAAGGCTGATGATTTATACTACAGATTTTTTAAAAGTTTAAGTGAGGAGTCAACTTTGAACAACACCATAATTTTTTTTTATAGCGATCATGGGATACGTTTTGGTCAATTTAGACAAACCTTTATTGGAAAAATGGAAGAACGTTTGCCTTTTCTGTTCATAATTCTACCACAGTGGTTTAAAGTTAAGTATCCTGAAATATACTCGAATTGTAAAACCAACCAGCAGAGGTTAATTTCCCCGTTTGATATATTTGAAACAATGACACACATCTTGAATTTCTATACGTACAACATTAAAAACAGCAAAATGCGACGAGGGCTAAGTCTTTTTAACGCAATACCACAAACTCGTAGATGTGAAGATGCCAATATACTTCCTCATTGGTGTACGTGCTCAACACAACATGTTTTGTCCACGGGTGATCAAACTGTCGGTAAAATTGCAAGGCATTTTATTCAAATACTTAATTCAAAAATAGCAAGCTTCAAACAGTGTGAAACTTTATTTTTAAAACGTGTTATTTCAGCTACAAAAATCATTCCTACGGACGTTGTTTTAAAATATGTAAACACGTCTCATGTTGGAGAGAAATCAAGCATTTTGTATGGACATCGTGTGTCAACATATATCGATTATCAAATCTCCTTACAAACTGTACCTGGAGATGCAATGTTTGAATTTACAGTAAGATATGATGAATCAGAGAGCAACTTAAATATGCTGGGAGATTTCAGTCGCATTAATTTATATGACCAGACTTCCTACTGCATCAGTGGAATTGAACTTAAAAAAATATGTTATTGTAAAGTCCAGACATAAAAACAAGAAAGCACATGCTATATAAATACTGATAAAACAAGCATAGTTCACAATAAATGAGATTCTTATTATTGAAACAACTACTATTAACTTGTACTTATACACCGCTAGTATCAATGATATTTGTTCAACGGCCTTTCTCTGGTAAACTCGGGTTTGTTTTTATTCTTTTTTTTTTCTCCCACCACTCGTTTTGTGCTACAGTTGTAGTGCTTCTAAAATTTACCCTTGAATTACCGAAAACTTGTTTTCACAAGAAAAATGTGTATTGATATCATTCAACCGGAAGTGATATTTTTCAAACCAGACATGTTAGTATATACGGCATTACGTGTATTTAATAATATTGACGGTAGATATATTTATTTTTTGTTTGTTTCAGTTTTTGCTCAACAATAATTATACACCGTAACTGGATTTTAAAACCGGAAGTAATTATGTTTAAGCGATTTTTTCCCCCTGATCAATGTATATATGAGATAGGTGATAACCCTTTCATCAGAGCTTCCTTTGAAATACACTAAATGATCAATCCCTTGACTAATTGGTGTATAAAAATAAAAAGTTGCGATATGTAGATACTACAATTCATTTCTGACGAACTATTCTGTTGAGTTTGGCTTTCTTTGGATAATAAAAGTAAGCTGAAAACAAAGTGTGTTGTCATCTGTTCGTCTTTGCATCCGGATTTGTTTTTTTCTCAATCGATTTATGACTTTTGAACACCGGTATACCACTGTTGCCTTTATTTGCATTGGCTTGAATAACATATTACTCTCAGAAATATGTCACTTGGAAATGGCATTTTTTAAACTGCAATTTGTCGAGTTTGTCCGGTATTTCGTGTATCGAATAACATAAGTGATACCAATTTTGCTGTACCAGATGCTTATTTTAACAATAACTGTTTCTTCAGTAATGCTAGATGTAGAAATATTTACAATCAACAAAGTTCAAAAGAAGTGGATGTGAAAAAATATAGGCAACCATACGGCCTTCAACAATGAGAAAAACCATTACCGTATTGTCAACTATAAAACGGCCCCGAAATGAAAAAATATGAAACTATTCAATTGAGAAAACTAACGGCCTAATTTATCACAAAACAATTTACGAAAAAACAATTTCGGACATGAACAAACGACAACCACTGAACTACAGGCACCTGACTTGAGACAGGCACATAAAAGATGTGGTGGAGTTAAACATGTTTATGAACGCTCAACCCTCCCCTAACCTTGGATATTCGTTTTACAGCACAACATTTAATCACACTATGAGTTGAACAGAGCGTAATTCATCAGATCGATAAAGATGACTATTGAATGTTTTTTAAAGGATTTGTGAAGCATACATCTATGGGACAGCACCTCAATGACACATATAATCAAAAGATATCTAGATATTATCTATGGGACATCACCTCAATGACATATATAGTCAAAAGATATCTAGATGTTATCTATGGGACTGCATCTCACTGACACATATAATCAAAAGATATCTAGATAATATCTATAAGACTGCACCACAATGACTCATATAATCAAAAGATATCTAAATCTTATCTATGGATAAGCACCTAAATGACACATATAATCAAAAGATATCTAGATATTATCTATGGGAAAGAACCACAATGACACGTATAATCAAAAGATATAGAGATATTATCTATGGGACAGCATCTCAATGACACATTATCAAAAGATATCTATATACTATCTATGGGAAAGCACCTCAATGATACATATAATCAAAAGATATCCAGATAAAATCTATGGGAAAGCACCTCAATGACACATATAGTCAAAAGATATCTAGATGTTATCTATGGAACTGCATCTCAAAGACACATATAATCAAAAGATATCTAGATATTATCTTTGGGACAGGACCTCAATGAAACATTTAGTCAAAATGTATCTAGATATTATTTATGGGACAGCAATTCAGTGACACATATCATCAAACGATATATAGGTATTATTAATGGGACAGCACCTAAATGACATGTATAATCAAAATATTTCTAGATCTTATCTTTGGGACAGCACCTCAATGACACTTATAATCAAAAGATATCTAGATATCATCTATCGGACAACATCTCAATGACACATATAATCAAAAGATATCTAGATAATAGCTATTGGACATCACCTCATGGACACATATAACCGAAAGATATCTAGATATTATCTATGGGACAGTACCTCAATGACACATATAATCAAAAGATATCTAGATATTATCTATGGGACAGCACCTCAATAACACATATAATCAAAAAATATCTAGATATAATCTATGGATAAGCACCTCAATGACACATATAATCAAAAGTTATATATAGATGTTATCTATAGGACAGCACTTAAATGACACGAATAATGAAAATATTTCTAGATCTTATCTATGGGACAGCACCTCAATGACACTTATAATCAAAAGATATCTAGATACTATCTATGGAACAGCACATCAATGACACATTTAATTAAAAGATATCTAGATATTAGCTATGGGACAGCACCTTAATGACACATATAATCAAAAGATATCAA